TCATCATCATCATCATCATCATCATCATCATCATCATCATCATCATCATCATCATCATCATCATCGTCGTCGTCGTCGTCATCATCATCGTCGTCGTCGTCGTCATCGTGCAGCGAACTACAGTGAGGCGAACTTCACTGATTGCTGCCAAACTCGCAATGCATACACGGTTAGTGGTGAATTTAATGTGGACAGGAATTAGACCTATTTTAAGGGAGGGGGAAGAAGGCGAACCTCTATGGCCAACACAGAGTACGCAATCGAACTCTGCATACATACCGCTTCAAGCATTCTAACGGGATATGAAACGACAACAAGAACGCCACTGCTGTCGGTTCGTTGCCATATCCTTCAATGTCTCCAACCAATCAGTTGTAGAGCCTTTCGGACCCAAACCTGGAAGGCGAGAGACACCTACTCTACCTAATGGCTCTGTGCATTTCTTCATGCCTCGTCTCCACTTCATCTGTTGACCTTCACGTAGTTTTCTCCAGCCCAGATTAGCTACAGCGAATAAAGCGCGGTGCGGCAAACGACAGCTGGGCATACGGGATACGTGCTCTAGTCTACTAGTCTGATTTTGGTGTGCTAGCGGGTTTATAACTGATAGACTCCCAAACACACGATGACTTACCTCCACGTTACTTACCCATTTGCTCCATTCAACATGAGCTAAACTACGTAACCACCGATGATCGAAAACTTCCAGTCGACGGATATCTTCTACTCGCAAATTCAGGGTCAACCATAAAGCAGGACTGAACGAACGCTAGCACAATATACACGACCTTTCAGCTTCTGTGAAACGTGGCGTCTACGCCAAAGGTGTTTCAGTCCTGCGTATGCTGCTCGAGCCGTGGAAATGCGGTCGGTTATCTCCTTTGCTGCATTACCTTCATTGGTCACGCAACTACCTAAGTAGGAAAAGCAATCCACCATAACTAAATCCTGGCCATTGAGTTTCAGAGCGGGAGTAAACAAAACCCAATCCTGCAGCATCACTTTGCACTTTGAAGGTGCAAAGCACATATCGAATGTTGGCACTGCACTTGTTAGTCTATCAAGTGCGCTTTGTGCGTCCTCCATACATTCAAGTCAAGTCAAGCTTTATGCACCCAGTAGGATGAATTTTCAGCATTTTCGACATGTTACAGTAGGGAAAACGTTAAGTATTGGATAAAGAAGAAATATACATTTAATAAATGACAAACGGATTTAGGAAAAATCCTAATGTGAGGGATGATTGTTCAAGTTAGTAATAATATTTGCTCGGTTGATCAAGATGCGAGCAAAATAAGGGATCATGCTGCAGCTGAAGGATCTGACGCAACGTAAAAATCTGATCAGTACATCCACGGTCAGGCCGGAATCCGGTTTGCTATTCGCGGATGTTGGTCTCTCTTAAAGGCGTCAGACGTCGAAGTATATTCGAAACTAGCACTTTAGTGACGATCGGGATCAAATTGATCCCGCGGTGGTTGTCGCAATCGTTGCGAGGTCCTTTCTTGAAAATGGGAGCGATCAGTGATTCACCCCAAGATGAAGGAATGTGTTCTCGCGTCCAAATGTTGCGCAGTAGAGTAGTAATACAGCTTACGAGGTTATCACTCCCATCTTGAAAAGAGTGAGAGGGAGTTCATCCGGTCCTGCTACCTTTCCCCGCTTCAGAGCTTGAATGCAAGATCGACTTTTTGCTTCTGCTAGAGGATTGCATGACACTGCCCACGGAGCTTCAGTTGCAGATGAAGCAGTCGGGTTAGCAATAGATCAACTGAACTGTTCGTTGAAGTATTCTGCCCAGCGATCGAGTCGTTGATCCCTATTGTGAATAGTTCATCCCCTCTTATCGCAAACTGTTTCACTAACTGGAGTTCGCCGACCTCCCGTATTGCGTATCAATCGGAACAGTCTTTGACTATTCTCTGATGCAGCCGCTACTTTCATTTCACTAGTTATTGTTGCCCACCAGTTCCCACGGTCCTTCTTGAGGCTCTTCATGAGCCGACGTTGTAGATGCCACCTAAATCTATTTTGATCGTGGCAGGTTGGGATTTGTCGTTTTTATTCATCAGGGCTACTGACTCCTGAGATATCCAATGCCTCCGACGGGTTTGAGGCTCAGACCGACAAGAAACATTCGCTGCGGAATGCATTGCTCGTCTAATCTGATCCCACTGCTCATCTACATCACCATGTTGAGGTGCGCTTAGTTCACGCTCTAGCTCTGATTCATATCGTACACGAACTGCTGGAACAGATAGTCGATGATGAGCTGTACGCGTTTGCTGCATTCGTCGCCGCCCAGTCAGTCGGAGAGTGAACTGCATCAAAACTAATGCATGGTCATACTCAACGCATTTTTGCACTGAGCCACTCCAATGGTAACTTATTGCGATGTGGCCGATTTGAGTTAGCGTACCAGTTGAACTGGAGCGCCACGCTGCCGTCCGTCGAGAGCTGGGTCGGAAATTGGTGATTCATAGGAACAGATAATGGTCTGCGCAGAACTGAAAGAAGTCAATCACCGTTATCTGTTCGTTGGCTGGACAGAGCACAACTACCGCCTAGGCAAGCTTCTGATGCCCCCAGTTTTCCAACCTGCGCGTTGAAGTCACCTGCAAGTACAACTATGTCGTAAATTCAACTCTTCCGAATGAGATCGGTGTGTTTGTCGTAGAAGGCGTCCTTTTGGGTATCGGAACTGCAATTGGTTGGTGCATATGCTGATACGGTGAACAAGCACCTTTTGGTGTTGCTTCCCTTCCGGACGCTAATTGAACCTTTGCAGACGCACTGCACATAAACGGCTGTTGACAGGGATCCAATCGATAAGAGAGGACTCCGCCCTGTGACTAAGTACAATACCTACTCCGCGCTGACCCACTGAGCAAGTTTCGTCGTCGCCTGATGTACGAAGAACATATCTCGAAGACAAATCTGGCGCACTCAAATGGCTTATAGTGATAGGATTTTGGATACGATTCCCCGACACGCAGCAAATATCGATCCCCAAGGATTCCATTGTACGCGCCAGACAAGCTTGTTGACCTACTTGCATCAGTGTCCTTACGTTGAAGTTCCCCAGATTAAGTGATTGATGAGACTTTAGAATATGCAATTTGTTTCGAGATACATTACTTACGGTGCTATTTGGCAACGACCTTTTGCGAGCGACATTCAAGTTGCCTGAGGGACTATTACAAGTCGGAAGAAGGGAAAAAACGGAGAGGGTTGGGTACTGAAGACAAAGAATTAAACAACGGTCGTTGAGTGATGTAGCATAATATCTTCTGTATACTCTAGATCGGACAGTCTGCCACCTGGGAGTAAATCGATACCGCTATCCTCGCAGGAGGATAGGGCTGTTTCAAGAATTTAATATATGACAAAACTGAATAGAAACGGAGAGAGAGGGCAATCATGTCGAACGCCACGTTCTGTGGTGAACTCGGGTGAAAAAGTGCCTTAAGCTCGGACTCGGCTTTGGCATCACAGTTTGAGTTTTGTGTACAAAGGTTGACCTAGTTGTACAAAGACTGATCAGTGTATGATTCTTCTGATTGTTTGAATTCGTTTTTTTAGTAGGCTTGTTTTGTTTACGCCTATATTTTATCTTTCCTTTTCTTGTGAATTTTCATTTCAAAATAATTGTGATTCATATTAAAAGGGGACTTGTAAAACGAGTTAACCACATACTTTGTTCTTCACAGAGCGGCTTTTTGTCCAGTTTGACAGTTCGTTGGTAGGCAGTTTTGCTGTCGTCCGGTTCAATACCACACCTAACATAGCAGAGCCTTGTGGTTCACCTCTCTAAGTCCCGTGGATTAGGTTATTGGTTTCCACCACTGAACAGCAGGTCCTCGTGACTATGGGTTTTGCGTCGTCTGCTGTTCACCACGCGAATGTGTGTAATAAAGTTTCATGCTTCATTGCAATCATTTGGTGTAACTTAAATGTGTTGTAATTTCTTTCAGGGTTCACTTTTAGACTCGTTCTTATTCCATAAAAATTCTTGTTCTGGGAGTTGTTTGAAACAGTGTTAATTTAGGTCGATGTGAAACCTAGCATCGATAAGATAAAAATATACTTTTCAGTATTCTTTCTATTCTACAATTTTGCTTTTATTGGGTCATTCTTGTTGACTGTGCTGTTTTTGCCTGGGATATGCAGCAGTAATATCCTAACTGACCTTAGATTCCTTTCTCGGCCCTTGAAGGTGATGAGCGATCTTTTCAACAAAAAAGTGCGCCGAAATTATCGATCAAAAGCACGTGATTCAGACGAGGAAATTCCCAATGAGCAAGAGAGCTTGTACGAACAGGGTGCCAAGGGAACATTTAATGCGCCATCTGATGCCTCGGGTGTGAAAAAGTCCAAAAGTGTGCTCAGTTTTGAGGATGATTTAGATCCAGGTACATGTTTTTGGTGTCCAAAATGACCGTTTTTTCAGACGATGGTGATGAATTTAAAGTGAAGAAAAGCAACTTGAGCCGTCGGTTGAATAAACAAACAAAAGAACACAAAAAAAAACGACCGAGTGACAGTGATAATGTCATTAAAGTTGTTAGCCGAAAAGAACCGATTGAGAAAAAGCCTGAACCGCCAGAAGAGCCGGTGGATCCGGAAGAAAATCTTGAGGTATCTTTCATTTTCTTCCTGGTTAGCGTTTGACTTTTTTCTCCTTCAATAGCGCCTTCGCAAGCAACTGCTTGATTTGGCCGAAGAAGAAGACCAAGCAGAACCGGCTCCCGTATCTGACGGTGTTAAGGTTAATCCACTGTTGCAAAGTAAGCTCGTTCCGTTTCTAAACCATTGATTCTAGGGGGTGCAATACCGGATGCTGCCACAATACACATGGCTCGAAAACAGCGTGAAAAGGCTAAAAGCATGCTCGACTCGGCCGATGCAAGTGATAATCCGAAGCCCTCCGGACGTAGTGGGAGCAGACGCCTAGTACAGTAGGTTTCAGTTTATACAACCAATAATTTTGAATTTTCGAGCGGCGGTTTTTAAAGGATTAGTGAGATGAACTAGAAAGCTGCAGCAGTACCGAAGTCAATACAGAAAATTCAAATAAATTAAATTTACGAAGAAACTGAGCTGATGCACAAGTACAACCGTTTGACTCAACCATAGCACACAATGCTTCTAACCCTCGATTAAATTGACCCAAAAGACTCCCGACCTGGAAGTCTAACGTCATATGTGAAAACATTGACCATCAATTCATTGAGACTACCTGTGGTAAACTCTCAACCTCCCGATGTGGGTCTCGCGTATTCCTCAATACAGCATTTTCCACTTGAGCGTTGCCCCACACAGCTTGTTGTTTATCATTCTTGCTCCTACTCCAGTCAAGTCATGTTTAACTTATGTGGAAAAACGCACCAACGAAGAAAATGTGCAGTCATACAAACGCTACTATCCATAGTATTTACTCATTTGACCTCATCTCTTCGATGATCATTTGCTATTATTTGGTGGATTCCAGTACCGACGTTCAGCACAACCCACTCGGGATTTTCATATCTTTTCATATCTGCCCTGTGCCCCAGAAAGCATGCTATGTTTACGAAAAATAGCAATGGACATACATAATACATGTTCCAGTCGGGAAAATATACCAGGGCCAGATTCCTTGTCAGTAAACCACCGCAGTAAGACCACGCTCTGCGTTTTACGACAATTTTTCCAATCAGTATACTTTACTGTTACTCAAATAGCGAGAAAGAAGTAGCTGTATGGGTGCCCATGGTGTTGGATTGTGATCCACTTCAAAAGTTTCAGTTTGCACATCACGAGCTTTTGTCTAGGGGTGCACTCCATCACTCAGTATTGAGCAGATTGATGATACGCCACTGCTATAAATAAATGGAGCTAACAGTTGCCATAAAGGCGTTCGAGATACAAGTTTCCGTAGCGCTTCACCTATTAAACTTCGTCCCTTCGATAGAGATATTGTCTAAATGGTAGAATAGGTCCAAGAAAATTCACCTACCTTGACCTGGACAACCCGGTAGTATTCAGCTCACAAGCCAATCATGGAACATTTTATTTTTATAAAAATTATTGTGCCATGATTTGTTTGGCGCACAGTCTGTTCTCAGACAAGTGTGAAATATAATACAATAATAGAATGGGCCCATCACCTTACCTATTTTCCTAAGTGAGTTGATATTACAGGTTTCATAATTTGTTTTACTTTAGTTGTCCCAAAGCAAAAATCAGGGTTTGTTGCATTATGATTCGGTTGGTCCAGAGAACCTTTTCCCTACNCCTAAACGTACTTACTTTACTTAACTACGGCTGGCTGCTTGGAAAGGATAAGCGAGCTCCGTGAATGTCTCTGATGGCCGTTATCCATGCTTGGCGGTTGGCTGCAAGATCCTTGCAAATGTTAATCCAGTTTGTTTTCCATCGGTGAGTGCCGTACACCATCCGAAGACAGAATTGGTCGACGTCTTCGAATACAGTGTCCAACCAGGTTTTTGCTTTCCCCCTTTTTTGCGGCGCCAGCCAGGACATGATGTCGGAGCCAAGACGGTACTCGTAAAAGTGTCGTCGAGTCTGCGAAGAACATGACCCAGCCATTGCAGTCGGTGGCGTTGTATGTGCGTTGAGAGACGGGCAACGTGGCGTTGATTTCTGAGGTCCGAATTTGAGACCCTGTCCCACCAGTTTACTTTCAGGATGAATCGAAGACACCAGTGGTCGAAGACCTCCAATCATCGGATGTCCTCAGCCCTCAGCGGCCAGATTTCGCAGCCGTATAGCAAGACTGGTCGAACTGCTGTGGCAAACGCCCTGAGCTTGGTTTTAAGGCTGATCTCTTTTCGGCGTTATAGGGTGTTTCGGAGCTGCAGAAACGCCTTTCGGGCCGTGTCGATGCGCCGCTTTACATCATCTTTGTCTTGTCCATTGGGCAGGATGGTGGACCCAAGGTACTTGAAGTCCGATACGATTTCTAATGTCCGACCAACCAGTTGCAGATGATGTTCCGCTTGATCAGGTGGAGTAGCGAACATCTTTGTTTTGTTAGGATTAGTCTCAAGGCCGATCTCAGTGGCAAATCTTTTGATACGGTTGGGCGCTGTTTGCTCGGCTGTCAGATCCTCTCCACGCACTATCACGTCATCGGCGAATTCGAGGTCAGTAATCCAGCAATCCGCAGAAACCTGGACGCCTTGGCAACCTTCCATTGCCCGACGCAGAATCCAATCAACGGCGAAGTTGAACAACACTGGAGATAGCGGGAATCCTTGTCTTACCCCTAACCTCAGATCGAAAGGATGAGACTTTTCACCTTAGGCACGGATACAGGCTTTGGTTTGGGTGTAATACGATTTCACTATATTGATTAACTTTGCAGAGACGCCATGTGCAAGCATTATCTTCTACAATGACTCGCGGTCCACTGAATCGAATGTGGCGCAAAAGTCAATGAAACGTGTAGCGGTGGGGCGCTGAGATTTGTATCGGTGTTCCAGAATTCGCCGGGTTGGATGCCTCCTTGGTTTGGCCGCGTACATGCATGCCTCACTGTGGCAAATCGATTAAGCACAAGCTGGGCAAACGCTTTTGCAGCCACATCTAGCAGACTGATATCCCGATAATTCTCGCAAAGTGTCTTCTCGCCCTTCTTGGGGAACGGAAGCAAAACCGAGGTGTTCCAATCAGTTGGACACGTTTCGGTCTTCCAAATAGAACGAACGAGAGAGTGAATCGGTTTGATGACCACCGGAAGGCATTTCTTGTATATTTCTGCCGGGATTCCGTCTTCACCAGGGGTCTTGCCAGACTTCGAGCGACCGATCACTGCAGTAATTTCGTCTATCGTTGGAAGATCACAGTCGACCTCGTATGGGGACGCCATGTCGGGATGAATATCCGCCGAATTGCCAAACAGATGGCTGAGAAGTCGACTAAAATGTTCTACCAATCTGGTCATTCCACCGTCGATATCGGAGATCAGTCCCCCGGAAGAGTCGCGCAGAACGGATTGTAAAGATTGCCTTCTACCGGACGCTGATCTTATGAGGCCAAGGAGATCTTCGAAGTGACATGCACTGGCTGCGGTTTCCATCTTGATCGCTATTTCGTTGCAGTAGTTGCGCCTATCTGCTTTTGCGGAGTCGCTGGTAATCGTGGTGGCCAGCTAGACGGGCGTTCCTGGCCAGGGTTGACCGACGGATGTTTTCCTCTGATATCCAATCTTTGTAGCAGCGTTTCGTTGTACCAAGTTTGTTTAGTGTAGCTTGTTGTACTGCAGCTTTTATCCTGGACCACTGCACATCAGTGGAGTTTGCTACGATGACCAATGGGGTAGATTCATTTGCCATTCGGGTTTCAATTTCATCCATCAGTGTTTTTGATTTCTCGCAACACTCTAATGGGCCCACATTGATGCGATTTGGAGGGGTGGTCTTAACACGAGTAGTCAGCCGAAGGCGAAGTTTTGCACGAACCAGCATGTGATCAGAGCCACCTCTGTTGCCCGCTTCGGCACCACGATACGATCCACAGTCCTCTGCTGATGAGATCCAGCGTGACCGTATCAAGATATAATCGATCTGGTGGGCTATTATGCTGTCGTTGGAGTACCGGGTAAGAAGATGCTTCCTGGGGTGCTGAAAACACGTGTTGGTTATAAATAGCCGGATAAATTAATTAGCCTGTTACCGTTTTCACAGCGATGGCCTAATCCATATTTTCCAATTATATCACGATAAGTACATCTCTCTTGGGGATGCGATTTACTACCTCCTGAAGACTGTCGTAGAACTCGTCCTTCGCTACGCTGTCGGATGGCAGAGTAGGGCGTAGACTGCTACCATGGTGAGGTTGGTCGGATTACCTTTGAAGCGCGCTACAACGATCCTTGACGATATTTGTTCCCAAGAGAGTAAGGTAGCGTTAGCGCGCTGGTTCAGCGCTAACACCACTCCCTGTTGACTTGAAATTTCTGAGCCACTATGGTAAAAATGGTGGTGGCTATCAGAACCGGGAACCTTGATGCTACGGGAGCCGGAGCCGGCTAGTCGTATTCCGGATAAGCATGCAACATCTACGCGGT